GGCTAATTATGGCCACTAATGAGCTTGAAATGGCACTTGCACAAACCGAAACAAAAACACACAAGCCATGCAAAAGACACAATGCATATACATATATATATAAATACAAGTTGTATTACTTCGTATTTAGACATTTGGCTGGCATCGTAAAAGGGGCAACAAAAGGCGACGAACCAATAGCCAAATGCATTGCGTTTAGCACTTAGAACCTATATGTGTGCTCGTGTTTTACTCTATAATTTACGAGATGGGCCAACTCCACAGTTAAATCGTGGACAACCAAGTGTGTGCTGTTATGGATTAGGGGCGGCGTTAGCTATTTCAAATTAAAGCACTTCCCAACTTAAACAAAATTATAGCGCACAATTACAAATTGTCTGCGCAATGTCAACGAAATTAGCACATTTTATGGGCCGACAGAATTTTGAACATTTTCACATTCACACGCAAAAAATATATGTTTTTAAATGAGCGAGCTGCAGACTCCCATTAAGTATACCCTGCTCATCGCAGGGATATTTTTGGAGGTATGCATATGTGTAAAAAGGGAATATAATTGATTCTATAAATATGCTCTCCATTTAAAGTTAAATATTCACATTTGTTTTTTATATACATTATTTTGTACTTTTTTGTCTTTTAAAATAAAAAATTACAAAAATCTGCAGTCGAAAGAAGTGTGATTATAATGTTTCCTAAGTCGAATTTTTCTATATGGCTTATATATATATATATTAGTTGGTTGAAGTAGCTCACATATGGTTTTCTTTTTTGGCCCAATTAATTGTGGCCAAACGAATATCCATTAATTGAATACATATCCATTAATTTAATATGTGTATATACAGGGTAATTTTGCGTGTGTTACCATTGATATCTTGCTTCTGGGGCAAAGTGCCAGACTTTACGTTGCAGTTGCACTTTGGTGTCTCTTAAAGTTTCATTGAGATATTTGTCTGCCTGTGTGTCTCCCCGTCTCCGTCTGTCTGTGGGGGCAACTTCAGACCGCTGCTTAATGATGTTGCTCTTGCTGGTTATTACAACGTTTTCGGTGCATTTTACGAATATGGCAGATCACATGGCCAGTGCCTGTTTGGCAGTCGCCAATTGCCAATTGCCAATTGCCGGCTGTTATTGTAAATTTTAATTATTTTCTACAAATGATGATTAAATTGGCCGCAGGCAGCACAGATATTAAATCAATACATGCAATCCCCACTCTCCTCGTTGTCAACTCGTTCTGCACAGTCTGTTTGGGTCTGTGTTTGTTTTTGTCGGTGAGCGCGTTTAAATGGCTATAAACTCAGATTGGGCGACAGTTTACCGGTTTGCAGTTCATTTTCGCATAAATTGACTTTTTGTCCTGGCCAGCACTATGCACAGTTTTAATAAACAAAATGATGGCTATTTATGGCCAATATACGGCAATAAGCGTCCGGCAAAAACACAGCAGGCAAAAAGTTAACTGCACAACAATTCAACTTGAAAACACACATAAATAAAATAATAATCAGTGCTCAACGGGGGAATACTCCGATTCATGTAAAGCTGAATTATAATTGTTGTATATATATATTAATATAATAACACATTTTCTTTTCAAAGATTTTATTTAGACTAAGAACTGATGTCTCTGAAAAATCAACAATTATTTTCACGCAGTTACAAGCCTTTCCACAAATTCGATACACCCTTTCGATATCTCTGTGCTAAGTATTGCAAAAAAATTCAATTAAATGCATATTTTTAGCCTTTGGGCTTTACATATCAGAGAGAGAGATTACAAAATTAACAAGCCATCAAAGCCATGAGCACCATGCAAAATCAACGCAAGAAAAACAACAAGTAATAATAACATCAACTACATCGTACGGATTATGAAAATTCCCAATGCGCATTACTCAAACAAAAGCGAATAGATTTCGAGTATATACATACGTGTGTTTGTATGTCTATTAATTGAAAAACTCTTAGGATTGATGAACTTTACAAATATTTCAATGGCTATCCTTTGCTAGGTATGTCAAAAACACAAGCCACACACATAACGCATTCACACACACACACACACACACACACACAATCAACACACATATTTGAGTTACGGATAGAGAATGAATGACCATTGTGGCCAGGCTACAAACACTTGAATGGGTAAATGGCTCAAATTGATTGAATTTTGCACTTTGGCATTCATGAGACCAACAAATTTGCCTGCTGCAAAATTTATGAACCATGAAAGCTGAACGAATGATTTTTCTGTCCAAAATGTCCAAAAAACAAATCAAACAATCAAAATTAATGGTGTACGAAAAATGCTCAATTTCCAAGAATTTGCTTAACATATATACCATTACATATAAATATATATGTACATAAATATATGTAGCGTATATGGCGAGTTGAGTTGGCTAATTTACTTGTATGATTCAATTTAAAAGAAATCTGAGTTTGGCATTCAATCAATTTAATCAGCCGCAAAGCATGTTTGCTTTCATTTAATTTAATTTTTGTTAATAATACAAAATAAAGTTAAAATAATAATTAGTTTAGTGCCACACATTTATTTTGCGATTTCGTATTCTATGTAAGGGTATTCAGTCTTTGGCAACCCAAACCAGCAATCTGTTGTACTTGTTTTCAATTGGATTCATTAAGAAAAGTTTACTCAGACCGCGCAGCCGGATTCTGTAAGAAAAAGTAATCGAAAGAGTTGGAAAATTACACTTAATGGATTTTAATTATGCATTGGCAAAAGTCTCGCAGCTAGAAAGCCAAAAAAATAAATAAAGAAGAAAGAAAAATTGATAAAGGAGTTGCGTCCTTTGCTTTGGCTTTGAATATTTGATTGAGTCCAATGAGTTTGCCAAGTGAAAGTTGTTGCATACTTTCGGGCGTTATGTCTCGATTCGATTCTGGGCGCTGCTGCTGTTGTTGTTGTTGTTGTTGCTGCTCATGTTGCTCCCGTTGTTGCTGCTGCTGATGTTGTTGCTGTGAGTTAAACGAAGCACAGAGCACATCATTTTGCTGCGGGCGAGTGTGGGGATTGGGCATCCCATGCTTTTGCTCTGTATCGTCCTTGTCCAATTCAATTTACCCGCATTTCAATTTCCTTTCATTTTACGCTCTCTTACGCATCAATGTCCCGCGGCATGTCCTGCCACCCAAATCGAATCATCAAAGCCCAACCGCAATGGCTTACATATGCGTCAAATTTGCCTATTAGTATGCTGGCTAAAATATCAGCAGAGCCATTGCAATTTATTTGGCCAACTTTGTTTTATTTGGATCGGAATCATATTTGTGCCAAGTTCATTGCACGCTGTTTGGCAAAATGAGCATCGCCCCCAGAAAACTACTCCTACTTATAGATATGATAAATTATTCTTGATTGCTGAGAGTATGCCAAGACAATGGAGACAAATATGCTTTTAGATTTATGCATCTGATTTTTATAGTTTGGCAAAAATAAACTGCATAACTATGTGATGCCAATTCTGGTATCTTATATATATGTTAAAAATATAATGCTCATAACTCTTTTATTTACAAATATATATACATACTTTGACTATTTTAAACCATTATTTAAGACCCTAAAAAGTATACTTTGAGAACGCAATCTTGCTGTGCTTCAAACACCAATATATCTACCTTTTGCAGCTCTATTCTACTTTCCTGACTTGACGCTGCTTAAAATCCAATTTAGCTAACAAATTGCAACTAATTAGCTGAATTTTAAATGCCTGCAATTAGACAAGTAATTAGTTGGGATTTGCAAAAAAAAAAAGTACAAAGCAAAGCCAGAGAATATAAATTAGTTGGTTAGCATTGCCTTAGCTTCTTCTATTACATACATATATGTACATGAATAAATACTAAGTATATGGAAGCATAAGTTGTAGTTATATATTTCAGGTCGAAATTGTCGAACGTTTGGCAGGCGTCAAATAACAAATGGCTTTTGGCAATGTTTGGTAACATGTGTTACCACATTTATGTGGCATTATCGCACCCCCCTCGATTCATCCTCTATCCCCAACATTCTTTTTGGAATTGATGAGAGAAGCTTGCGGAAATCTTGCTGGCAATGTCTGGCACATAATGCCGTTACTTTCTGCACCTTTGTCATGCACATAATGCTAAAATATTATACCGATATTATGCAAATTTTTATTGTTTTTCATGCGGGTGCCCGGCCGAATGCCTTGCCAACCACCACAGCGACGAGCCCCCTCCCCCCATCCGGCCCAGACGCCCCCACGCATGCCTTTTACCGTGTCACGGCAACGGTTCACGACTAAAGGGATTTGGTGCGTGATGAAATTAGGATAATTTAATAGATTACGCTTGGCGTTGATTTTTCATGTGTAGTATCATCAGAGTCACGGCTGAGTCTAGGTACCTACTATATCATGCATTATACATAATACGTAATACCTGTTATGTGCCGTCTATGCGTATTGATTGCATTTACTTCTACTTATACCCTATGCCAGCCATTGTTGTCTGGCATCCAAATACAAATGCCATCCACTTGGGATTTGAAATCTTTATTTTATTTTATTTTTTTTGATAACTGGTCGCACTTAATGTGCCACCCCCAACCGGTGAGGATTTGCTTTCTCACTGTTTGGCATTTATTTGCCTTCATTTTTGGGCCTTTACTAGGCACATCACGTACTTTCAAAACGCATTTCGTCACCTGAGCAGCGGGTCGCAATTGCTGTTCAGTGGTTGGCTCTTAGTTTCCACCGTATTTGTAGTCCACAGTGCACTTAATATTTTGGATCGCATTATGGGCTTGCCCTTAACAGTATATTTACTTCTTAACCATCAAAAAGAACAACGCTACTGTTCTGCAGTTGTATGGTCTAAATAGCTTCGACTCAAATTTTGTATTGTTTCACTACTTAAAATAATATATATAAATCAATATTTTAATTCTTTTGAATAAAATTTGAAAGAATTTGCAAAGAAAAAGCTTTGCTTTTCCTTTTTGATTTTTTTATTATGCTGTTTATTATGGGCGCAACTTAATCAACTTCAGCCCGATGATAATTTGTAGCTCTATAAAATACACTTAATCTACTTAAGCCGCAATCCCACGTCTCGCCATGACCATCCCTGGTATTCCCAGTTGTACATTTTCAACTAATTTACTGGTATTTAATTGCTGTTGGCCTCTGCAGAGCGCTAAGCGAAATATTGGCGGTTTACACTGTGCAGCGAGCATGAAATTGGCATTGGATTCAGACACAGTATTAGTAAAATATAGGTAGGTATTAGTAGTATGTCCCTCAACCAAAGAGGCTATATTAATTAATTTGATATCGAATGCAATATTAGCCGGTCATTGTCTTGGCTGCATTCGAATGTGTCTAAGAGGATGGACCGTTACCGGGCCAATGCTCTAATTCTCCCTTATCGGTAGATGCAACTACCTAAATGCGATGTGTAACAGTGGCAAAAAGCTTTATTTATATATCAAATTATTTAGTTATTTTTAATTGTATTTAAATTCTTGGGGCGAATTGTCATTATTACATTCGAATATGAATACGAATATGAATACCAGTCATTCCAGTAAATCTTTCCTGGCTTCCCGTTTAAATTACTATATTTAAAGAAATAATTTAATTATAATTAAATGTCATTGTATGTACAATATTATTTACTAACCTTGATCTACATTCATAATCATACCACCAGGCACCAGAAAGGAAATTTGCACAGTATTTATTATTTTTGTCGTGGGTTGAAAATTTTCTATTTAAACTTTTTCTCATGCCATCAGATGCTGTGCCGCTGTATGTGCCGAGAGATTCTAAAGTATAATTGTTTCCCTCATTACCAATCAGAAAATTATCATATTGAGCAAAAGTCCATTCATTTGTCCATTCATCATATACATAGACAATTAATTCGTGTTGCTGTGAATATGTGATAAGATGCAGATTTTCCAATCCAAGGAAAAAGTCATCATTCAAATCACCAAATCCACGCCTGTAATTATTCCAGTCACGAAAAAAATCATATTTATTATTAGAACGTCTTTGAATTATTATCCCACCATTCCCATTCATTTCACAAGAGACGTTTAAAGAAATGGTTGAACGCGGAATCTTTATGAGTTGGAGTCCTTTTAAATTCAAGCAGCTCTCTGGAAGCGAATCCTTTTGGTCATTTTGCAATTTTAAATTATCGTTAATTAAACTAAGATTTTGTTCTAACTTTAAAATGCGTTCATCTTTGCTATTCAGTTGTAACTTGATTGCATTAAGATTCTCTTCCAACTGGGCTGAAATTTAAAAAAAAGTGTTTGAGTTTAATCTAAAATACACTTTAAAAAGTTTACCAACATTTTTCATTCTGTAGATTTCTGTTTAATCTCTGCAGATCTTTAGGAAGAAAGAGAGAAAGAGAGAGACAGAGAGAGGATTAGGAAAATATGTATGTGATATGTATGTCTTATATTATTATGTTACTTTGTAATTTCAATTTCAATTAAATTATTTAATGAGACATTGGATTGTAAATTCTTTCTTTTAGTGTTGTGTCGGCATCCGCAACATTAGATTGCAATTGTTGTATTTTAACTTCATTATCTTGAATTGGTTTTTTATACTCAGTCCTCGTATTAGTGCAACTCCTTAATTCAGATTTTAAATTTGATATGCTTTCAACTTTCCAAGGGGGCTGAAGATTGGAAAATATTTGAATTTAACAAAAAAATAAAAGACATTTTACCTGTTATTTTTGTCTTCTTGTTATTTAACTTTTGAATGTCTAAAAAGTAGATTGCATAGAAAGAGAAGGAGATAGAGATAGAGAAAAATTAAAAAATACATATACAATCTGTATTACCATATTATCTTACCTAGCTTTAATATATTAATTTCATCATTTTGTTTAGCAATTCGTTGATCACATTTATTCTGATCTACAGTATTTTGCTTAGTTATTCCATCAATTATATTTTTAATTAAAATCTCAGCTTGTATTTGAGTTTGACCATGCTCCTTAATAATGTGATTATTTATTAGATCTCTAATCGCTGGCAATATTTTCTCTTGATTTTGAGCTGTTTGGTTATTTAACTGAGCCTGGCATTCAGTAATTTGATTTTCCAATTCCAAAATAAATGTTTTGGCTTCTTTGAAATTTGTATTTATTAGATCCTCGTCGAATTCATATTCCAATTTCTTTAATTTGTCTTCCTTCTCTGTGATAATTTTGTCATAGTTATGAAATTCATTTTTTAGTTCTTCCAATGTCAACGTGCTCTCCGTCTCGAAATGTGAGCTGACGCCACATCCTGACAAAATTATGCACAGAATAACACACACTGCAAAACACTTTTGCATTTTCCTTGATTTTCTTCCACCAAGCGTTTGCCACTACCGTCTCTTACTTAATGCCGACACATACTAAAATGAATATGACTAGAAGCTTGTTGAATTCAACTCTCTTATCAAATTGTATAAATTTTGCAAGCGTACTCTCATTATAGTATATATTACTTTATTCTTTACACATAGTGAAATAACCTCAACATGGTGGGAAGGTTAAATTTCTTATACACTTCCAGAGACTATTATAAATTTGTCGTGAACACTATGAAAGATACGTCTCCGACCTTAAAGAGTCGCCTGTCGGTTTCTTTGACTATCAAAGAAGAGTTATATATGCCGCAAATTTATATAAAACGATTATAATTTGAGTACCAAATTGTAAAGCATGTTCATTGGAAAAATCAAAATGAGGAGGTTGATTTCGGTCTGCAAGAGTATGTAATATTCGTTGCGTCTCGTTTTTTTATAAGTCTATTTTTTTATTTATTTAAAAAAGTGATATGTAACTTATATTTGGAATTGAATCAATTCCAAGTATTATGGTATTATTTAAACTCTATTCAGCTGCTATATCATTGACAAGAAATATCTGTATTTTATTGTTTTTCATTCATTGTCAGACTAACAGTCAGTAATTATTTTTATGTTAATACAGCAGACGCAGATACGGATTGAATTAGCTACTAAGAATAATTCCGCTAATTGAATCTCTGTTTTCGGCATGGCAATTCTAATTGAACTTTCAAGTGCATCTGTCTCTCTCTCTCTCTCTCTCTCTCTCTCTCTTTCTCGATATCTGCCCTTAATGATGCGGATTATGTTTGCATTTGCTTTAGCCTTATAGAGGAGGCCATATTCAAGTGGATGGACAACTTAAGTATTTGTTTGTCTTAATAAACGCTCGGTAAATTGTGCGTTTTATGCTGTAAATAAGGCAGCACCGACGTTTGATGTTTAATGATGTGCACAGCATGGATATGAATGGATGCTCCAAAGATGAACGAGTATCGGCTTATCTTCTATGCTTATAGAGAAACTAGTGGCTGCTGACTCTGCCTAGCCGGAAGCAGTCAAAGGAAAAACAAATGTATTTTTTTTTTGTCTTCCATTCTGTTCTGATTTCTTGCACTCAAAATGTATAAAAATTTAAAAAATATGGTCTATAATTTTAAAAATCGACGCCTAATTAAAAGCAATTTATAAGTTAGTAGAAATCCATGTTTCTTATGAAATGAAAAAATGTGTCCGACCTAGAATTTTTTATGAAGCTTCAGTAAAATATATTCTTATTAGTTTCATTGCTTATTGTTTCCAGAATGCAGTTAATGTGAACATAAATGCCTTTGGCTAGGGGAAGTGCAACCAATTTGCATGGCTTTTTAAAGCTAACTTTAAAGTTTGTTTTCTCAGCTGTGACTTAATTTCATTTTACATATATGGTATAAGCCCGTCACTCCGCACTCGCAGCACATTCGCACTCCGCGCACTTTAGATTAAGCTTGGAATGTCTGGCATGATGTTTTTGAGTAGCTCGAGCGATGATAATGTGCTCTGACTTGTGCAGTGGCAAAAGCAAAAGTTTACCAACAAAATACTGCTAAGCCCTGGTAAAAGTTTTATGACTAGACAGTTTTTGGGCATCGTTCGTCAATATGCTAATAATGTAAACGTACGGCCGGAAATTGTTTAGCTATAAACTTTGGTTGGTGGCTTACCATTACCAAAGGAGCAAACCACGTTCTATCTCTCTCATTCTCTCTTTCTCTCTCTATTCCCACTCGCTTGAATGAGTAACAAGCATATTTGATGAACTGTTCTTTGCTTAACTTAAAAAGAGTAGAAGGAACAAGCTTCTTATCAGCATTTTGGTCAATGTCACATTCTTGGAATTTCCGCTAATCAGTATATATTTTTGTTGTTCATAAATATTGTACAACAATATGTATAAATAAGAATATGATGTAATATACTTTATGAGTCACACACTTAAAAACAATATTATTAAAGCACTAAGCTCTGAGACACTTTTAAGTTAAATTGTGCATTTTCAAATCATGTTTTTTTTTTTTTTTTGTATTTTGTGTTGCTTTTCTTTAGCTACACTTGCATTGTCCTATGCAAACAGACAAGTCCACCTGAACCACTCGCACCACCCACTCAGTAGTACTCACATGCTCCGGGGCCATTTATCTTGATTTGTACAAACCTAACGACGTTTAAATGCTTGCTGCAAACGTTTTGCACCATTTGTTGTACCATTGTAGCAGACTGCTCACTGGATTCGGTTTCGTGGACTCGTGGATTCGTGGCATCACGTTGCTGGCTCGTCAGCTCCCAGTTCTGCTGGGTCATGTTTATGCTTGAATAATGTTGACAAAATCGCTGAAGCGACGGCGGTCAGCCAAGGATACATGCAGAGCAGTGTTGCCCAGCTTATCAACTTCGATCAAAGCAAATCTAGCCTTTTTCAATGTATAATTGGAGATAAGATATTGAACATTTCTTTATATTTCATTAAGAAGCTTTGTTGTACCAATGTCTAAATACAAAATATATTATTTATTTATGATTAAATACAATGATGGCTGTGTTTCGAATTCATGGAAGAACTTATTTATTTCAATATTAAAATTAAAATTTCAAACACCATTTTTGATCAATTCATGTCAAAACTTTGCAATTTTATTATTATTCATTATTGCTATCCTAAATGAGTTTCTGCTACTAGTACTTTAACTAGTAAATAATCAAAATTTATTTTTAAAAAATCAAAAACTTGTTTGCAGTACACTTAAAAATATATATATTTAGCTTTATTTTGACATTATTTTCTCGTGGGCAGCACCGATAGAGAGAGATAGAAATAGATACAAAATATACAAGCCAGTTACATGCCACGGACATGCGACCCGGCTAAACACTTTCAGGCAGCTCTCGTTTCTCTCGACCAGCGCCTGCCCTCCCCAGCACCACCCCCTGCACCGAACTCGTAGACAAATTGTCGGTGCTTGGGTGTGAAAATGTTGGCAAAGTGGCAATGACAATGCCCGACTAGCTACGGGGATTGCTAGAAACGCCTGCCCGCCTGTCTGCCTGCCTTGCTGGTTGACTGCCTGGCTGTTGCAGTTTTGTATCGTGTATCTTGTATCTTTTTTCGCTTAGGCAGACTGGCAACTCAAACTGGCGCTGCTCAAACTCGACGCTGTTATGACAAGTGGCTGCACCGTTTCTCGCCGTTTCCGAGCCATAAAGCAAATTGATGATGAAAAAGTTGTGCCCAAAAGCTTCGTGTTCGTGTCATGGCCTGTTAAATGTTGGCAATAAAAGTGAAAACTCTCTTGTCATACGGCGGTGCCGTTAGTTTGCCATTTAGTGGCCATAAGCGACTTTAGAAGCAGACATAAAGCTCTAACCTCTTAAAGTCATCGCCACATGCATTCTCCAGAATCTTAACGCCCCCCAATATTGCATTGTATAGGACACACCTGTGACAAGCTCATAAACATAACGAACGCATCGATTTATGAAAGAACCTTGTTTTTTTTTCTTTCTTTTATTGTATCCATAAATCAGGCCATAAAATCATATGAAGAAAATGCAAATATGAGTAAAAGTAATGCGGGCCGTCATAAATCTTAAAGGTTTGCTTAAGGTTGGCAAATTGAAAATATTATTAAATATAATTTTAGATACAATTGAAGAAAGAGGACTACACGATACATAAACGGATATGTTAGACTTATTACCAGCTGATCGCTATATAACTTCATTAAATACCATTTCAGAACTCAGCGTGTAAACTAAATAAAATAATAATAAAATACAGGAAAAATGTACTTATTTCTCATTTAGATTTTGAAACTAATGTTAAACAGTTAAATAAATCGTTTAAAAATATTAGAAGTAATTGCCATTAAATTTACCAGAACATTGAACTAAGACAACATTTGTGGAAATCTCCTGAATTTTGTGAAAATTAATTTAGCTTTATATTTATTTAGCAAACAATTAATTCTGAATTTTTTTTACTTGATTTTAGCGACATTTCCTCCATTATTTGTAATTTTTATTTAGAGCTCTTCAAAGTGCATAAAGTGACCCGAAATCTACCTTTCCTTTAATTAATAATCCGAACTTCGATTTCCACTCCACACTTCTCAAGGGTATTTTCAGCACCTCCTTTGACAACTCGACAAAAACCCAATCCTGTGGCTTAAGTTGCACTTTGGGAAACATATCGCCGTTTAATGATAAATTGCCACTATACAGAGTCAGGGATAAAACCAAAAGTTGCTCCGGTAAATAATCGAAATCAACCGCAGGAGCCACCCGTCGAAGCATTCGCAAATCGAGCGCTGATTGAAAAAAGTTGTATATTTTTTAACGTCAAATAAAAAATACAGAATCAACAACAACTTGGTGTGTTGCGTTGACAGCGAAGGGTGCGTTGAGCAATTGATAAATTTAATGGCGTTACGCATGTCAAGCTCGCAAAATCCTTAAGAGTGTCAAATTGGCAGCAAGCTGGCAGCCTCCCCACCTGACCCCCGCTCATCCTAAACAAATAAAAACGACAGCGAAAAAAGCTAAAAAATGAGCAAAAAAATCTTCGTTACAACATCGAAAGAAACTTCAACAACAGCAACAACAAATGAAAGTAACGAGAACAACGAAAACTCGTCTCGAACTAATGGAGAGATATGCAAAGTGGCAAGTAGCAAGCGGCAAGTGGCAAGTGCCAGGTGACGTAAATAAATTGTGAAACATACTTAAGACCTGTATGATAGATGTATATTTATACCACACCGACAAAAACAAAAACAGTAAACAACAGCAATCGTTGTTGGCCACCTTCAAAGTAATCCAAAAGTTTTCCAAATATCTTAGGCCCTGTTTTGTAAAACTTTTTTGCGGCAATCATTAATTTTATCCCCGAATGGAATTGTTGACAAGTAAAAAATAAATTAATAGATTGGATTGTATTTGTTGCGTGGGATTTACTTGATACCAAATGGAACTCTGTGTTCTGTATTTTGGCAAATGATGTGGCCAGCATTAAATTGAAGTGTTGTAAAACAAAATTGCACTCAAAAAAAA